TATATATTATAAAGTAATTATATATTATATTTATAAGAAAAGAGAAATTATTTAATTTGTGTTCCTGTTTTCTATGAATATATTATATTTTATCGTATTTTGTTTATTTTTATTTATTCTATCCCATATAATTATAATTATTTGTCTTGTAACGTAAAAAAAAAACGAACTTAGAGATAAACACGTAATACAAATTATTAGGAATATTTTTAAAGTAAAATCATTAATATAATCTGACAATAATAATTAATCGTTAACGTATCAATCACTAATTAAATCTCATAACGATCGATCAGTTATCTTTCAATGTGAAATATTTAATAAAGGGTAAGAATTATGATCGTCGTGGTAAAGTTAGAAAAAAAAAAGAAAAGAAAAGAAAAGGTGTCGACATCATAGATCTTAAAGAAGATGAAAATTGTTCAGATCCTTTTCTACGTTCTTCCCCAACGTAGAGTTTCTCACATCTTAGAGAAGTTTGAAAACGTGTAACAACTTTTCCAAAGTAGTAATATTACTACATAAGCAAGTAAATGATAGAGGTTGAAATACTTTTCTTTTCTTAAAAGATCAATTCAATTTATCTGCGGGTGAGTTTCGCGTTTTTTGGGGAATAAAATTCGAATCTAAACTTTGTTAATCGGTTTGTAAACTATTTATTTTATTAAACTATCGAGTGTGTTTGATTTTAAATTATCTTCGTTATATGGATCATTTATTTTGAAAATAATGTAAAAATATTTATTTTTGTTTTGTTTTTTGTTTGTTTTTTTAATGAAATATCAAACGATTCGCGATTAATTTAATGTAAAATTGTATAATTTATAACTAATTAATATATTTAATATTATAAAAAATGTCAAATGTTTTGTTCTAATCAAAATTTCGTAAAGATCGATTATAAAAATGGTGTAAATTCATTATTCACACAGTCTCACATAAATATATTATTATTTTATTTAAATTTGTCTAAAAACAAAAAAAAATAAATTCATATAATCTAATTACATATCGATAAGTTAATTAAAAAAACATTGCCACAAACTTGGCATAATTTAATTGATATTTTTTCAATCGATTAATAATATATCCTAACCTCAAATTTTCTCGAAACAATTATTATCTAAATAAATTGTTCGCATATATAACTCAAAATAATACTTATATATATATATAAAAAAAGAACAAGAATTCTATACATCTATTATATATATTTTTCCTTTTTTTTCTTTTTCATGACTAATATCCTAACCTAACAAATTTTCTCGAAAACAATGAAAACTCAACTTGTCCACCATGTTGAAAATAAATCGTAAATACACCGAAGGAAACTTAATACTGTTTTGTATTAGATACAAGGTGTGGAAGATAATCATTTCGATTGGAAATAAAATTAACTGAATTAATAGACAGAAAGGTTAAATTAATAGGATATAGAAGAGTAAAAAAAAGTGAGAGAGATAGATAGATAGATTGATTCCTTCAATCGATTACTATACTACTACTACTATTACAACTTAATAGCATTCGCATAGTTAATCGAATTCGTTTGGTATCCTAGCTCGATTTCATCGTAGAGCTGGGAAAATTTACTCCCCTTGCCACCCCTACCTCTCACCACCCCCCCCCGTCTCTCCCCCGAACCAAAAAAAAAAAATAATTTACTTTTATTTCGACACTATAAAGCACCGTGTTTTCGATAGCATTGAATTTACGCAGCTAAGAGAATTCGCGTGGAAATGAAATTGAATTTAACGTCCCATATGGGTCGTGTTTAATAGCTTGGCAATTTAATTACGATGATCGTTTGAAAAAAAAGTAAAAGGGACAAAGTTTTCTTTTTTTTTTTTTATATATATATTTTTATATAAAATATATATATAAAATATATATATTTTTATTAATATATATATTTTTATATAAAATAATTCTTTTGATACGAGTGGTTTTTTTTTTTACCTAACCAACGAAACGGAGCAAAAAGTGTAACGAAAAGTGAGAGAAAGAGAGAGAGAGAGAGAGAAAAAAAAGAGTTTGTGGTTAGATATATTTTTTTTTCATGTTACACACTTGTTTAATCGTAAGTTGCGTTTGAAAATCACCGATGAAAATACACGAGGGTGTATAGTAATATTCTGCAAAGTGCAACGTTAAGCTATTCTATATATATATGTATATATGTATTTACATTGTACGTGTATACATATTTAACAATCTATCTAACACATATATGGTGAATAGATTTAAACAGGAATCCGTGTTTGTGTAGTTGATGTGCACGCGATCATAGGATTCCTATTTCGGACTTACATTGAAAATGATCACGTACTATAATGTTACTTTGCATGATTCGATTTCGGTATTATTGTTCGCGAATCAAAGGTGTTATTATGATTATTATTATTGTTGTTGTTGTTGTTGTTATTGTTGTTGTTATTGTTATTGTTATTATTGTTTCCTTTTTCTTGTAAATATATTTTTATTCGAGAGAAAATGAATAAAAAGAAATGAAAAAGAAGATTATATTGGAAGAAAAGTAATTAACGATAAAATAAAATGACAGAAAAAGAAAAAAGAAATGAATATTACGAACTAGTATCGGTTTATTTTATTGATAAAATTCTACCCACCCCCTCCCCATTCCTCTTTCTCGTCGAATGGGAAAGTTATTTGAATTTTCATCCCCTTTACTCGACCATTCATTGAAACAATGTTTGCAAATCGTTAAAAAATAATCAACGAAGCAACCATAAATTTAACATTAATTTCAAAATTATGAACAGTCAAGAAAAAAAAGGAATGGGATGGGGTGGGTGGGGGGGATCGTTGTTATTACGATTTTATTAAATTTATTTTCTTTTTTACTTTTAATAATTCCAATATAATTTCTAACTTTTTGAAGCAATTATTATCACAAAGCCGTCATCTTTTATCCTGGAAGTTAAGTCAGGAAAGGGGAGGGGGGGGGTGGAGAGGGAAAGAAAAAAAGGAAGAAAAGAGGTTTTTCAATGAATCCATGGTATTTACCTCGAAGGTGAGAGATCCTCTTTGGAAGTTGGTCGACTGTGGAACCTCTTAGGTGTAAAATGTTCTTCGGACTCATCGTGAGTAGACGGATGATAAGGGTAATAGCAAGTTTTCTCTTTCCCTCTAACCGTTCTCATCAGTACTCTGCCAGATGTGTACCTGTGGGATGAAAAAGAAAGGAAGAAAGGAGAGAATGATAGGAAAAATGGGTGTTGGTGGTTGAAAAACGGGTTAAGGAAACCAGGAGGAAGAAGAAGGAGAAATAAGAAAAGAAAAAAGGAAGAGAGAGAGAGAGAGAGAGAGAAGAAAATCGTTAGAAAAGCTGTAGGATTCTGTAAATACTACTTACTACAGTTTTCTACGTGGTTTTTTTTTTTCTAACAAAGATAACGATGTCGCAAAATAGGATGACGATGATGAATGCGACGCGATTTAGAAATAGAAAGACTTGTGAGAGAAATGAAAAGAGAAATTGGTATGAGAAAAGAAACAAAAATATAAAGCCTCTTAAGTTTCTATCATTTTTCATTGTAAAAGAGGATGGATACAATTTAAACAAAATTATATATATATATTTATAATTTTAAATTTTTATAATTTTGCAGAACCTTTGCAGATCGATTTATAATTCGACAAGGTATTCTACGCGTAGACAAAATAGTGTACTTTAATTTAAAATAAGAGTCATTAAAATCTATTAACTTTTAGTATAAAAAATATTTACCGAAACTTATATCAAAGAAATTGCAAAGATGCACAATTTACAGCATTGCATTCTCTGACATTTTATGAACTTTTGCAGATTGATTTATAACCTAAAAAGGCATTCTACGCGTAGACAAAACAGTGTACTTTAATTTAATATAAAAATTATTAAGATCCACTTACTATAATTATAAAAAATATTAAAAGTATATTTACGGAAGCAAATTGCAGTTTAATGTTAACTTGTAGAAACTGTATACTAACAGTGAAAAGGTTGATATGTTGCTAATATTTGACGAATGTAAAATCATATATATATTATATAATATATTATATCATTTTTCATTGTAAAAAGGAAGGGTACAATTTAAAAATAATTGTATATATATATAAATATTACAATTTTTAAGGATACTATTTTTAAAGTTGATATATATATATATATCATGTATTGCATTTGTCATTTTCGATGACAAATCAATAGTTTTTAATTGAATGATTACATACCTATTCGTATCGAATTTGTAGGTAGGTCTTCTCATCACCAATAAACGTGGAAGAATGTGAATGAAGACTCTTTTAACCCAAGGCGCCATTTGATGTGTTTGGGGTGACCGGAAGTGGACATTAAGAACGACAACGGTTACGCATATACTGTAAATAAAAATTGTTGAATTATTCATAAATGAAAACTATACATAACAATTCAGACATTAATTATATTTAATTATATACAATTCAGTGTTTTTCTAAATTATATAAATAATATAATAATATATATTTGTGAAATATTTATAATATAATATAAGTATTTTGTTGATAAAATAATAAAATATAATAAAAATATTTTAATATAAATACTGATAAGATAATAAATATTAATCATAAAAATGTTTGATTATATTATACGATTAATATATATTACATTTAAGTATAAAATTAAACGCATATTGTATAATGTTTAATAATATTAAATATATTATTTTACGATTGGCATTGTTATAAAGGAATTCGTAAAACGATGACAATCTATTTTATCGTATTATTTTCTTTAGACAAACTGTTTCCATGAGTCGTCCATGGAAATTGAAGAAGGGTCGAACAATGGAAATCAATGGACCATTGGCATAATAAAGACATTCCGTATCTCGCCCTAACGTTTTACTCTCTGGCAATTTTACGAATTGATCGTTAAAAGGTCGGCTGGTATTTTCTCTTTTCTAAAAATAAGTGCCAAGGCAAATTGCCATAAGGTATAACCGAGAATGACTGGATAAAAAGGAATGTAAATCTCCAAGGACCATTTATAATGGAACAACCAGCCATTTAAGATTTGCTTGATCGGAAGAACTTTGCTATTATTATTTTTTTTACAAGGTAAAAAGGTATAAGTATTGTACCATTTTAATTTAATCACAACCCTCCCTTCCACCATTTTATATTTCTCAAAATTAATTCGATTAGTATAATCAAGATTTTTCATTTTATTAATAGTTTCGAATCATTATCCTTTATTATTTTACTTTAATCTTTTTTTTTCTGCACTCGTTGTATCAATTTCAATCGATTATTATTATTATTATTGTTTTGGATTTTGTACGTTACGTATTATTCGAAATGAATTTTGTTAATAGACGATTTAATAATAATTAATATACGTTTTATATCAAATAAGATAATTATTACTACAAATATAAATTGATAAAAGTGAAAAATAATAGTTAAACGTTTCGTAACATTAATTATTAGGAAAATGTATGCGTCTGGAATGTAGCCGGTGCCACTAAACGTTATATTACCTCCGTTACACCATCCAAAATGGTGTTATAGTAATGGAATTGCGTTATTACCGCAAGATTTAGCTGCTCGTAATTTCGAAGAAGGAGAGAAAGGGAACGGGTGAGTTTAAAGGAAAAGGAGGAAAACGGGAGGAGGAGGAGGAGGAGGAGAGGGGTGAGGGGGGGGGAGGACTGGGCTGGGTGGTGTTTTAACTTTCCTACAAATTGGGCTAGAAACTAGAAAGGAATTTCTCTCGTTCATCGTCTCTTGAAGATACATAAATATTTACACAAGTACAGTAACCCGAATTATTTAGGATTAACAAGGATAAAAACAAACATGTTTTTGGTGAAATTATGTAAAATATATTATAAAATAATATTTTGATTAACAATTATTTTTACTAGTTTTCTATTACACGTGTAAATAATATTTATAAATACGAAATGAATTTGTGTATAAGAAGCTATTTCTTAGAATGATTATCTTCATCCTCTTCTTCTTCTTCTTCTTTCTCATTTTATTAAGACTTTGTCAAGTTATAATAGCTTTTTTTTTTATTGTTAATTTTAGGAGCGATTTATTGAATAATTATATTAAAGAAAAACAAAGTATTTCCTTTTGAAGTATCAAATAATAAGTAAAAGTATAAATGTGCATTGATGAGTGCATAAAAATGTCAAAACAAACCACCAGATGGCGCATCGGATGGCACGAAGTTAAGCGTGAAGTTGTCAATGAGTGAGGTTAGGTGTTAAATTGTTCGAAAAAAAGAATTATGACGTTTATTAGTTACGAAAAAAGAAAGTATAAAAGATTAAAAGAAAAAAAAAGCAGCACCAGTTATTAAATTGAATTTATAAAAACTTTTATTCACTTCCCATTCATTTATTATTTATTATATATCGTTTTCATTTCTATTAACAACTTCTCCACAGTCAGTGAAATAAAACTAGAGTATAAAAAGAAATATAAGATTAAAAAAAGTGTTAGAAATGAAATATAAAACGACAAATTTAATTTGTTATAAATTTGTTTTCTCTTTTTACGTTTCAGAAACGAAGCAATTGAGTTTTCTCCAAGATTACGGACGAGAAAGTTGGATATTATTTTTACTTCATCAAGATAGAAATAATTTATCTTAAGAAGTGGTCTAAAGGTAATTGAAGTTCTTGTTTTCAAGTAAATGTGGAATGGCAAAAATATGAAAGGAATCATTTAATACTTTTAATCTAGCACATTCGTTGATGTTAATATATTATTATAATTTAATTTATATTTAAGAATTATATAAGACGTTTAACGTTTATAGAAATTTCATGGTGAAAGGGTAAGAAAGCTTGTCGTAAGTTTGGATACCAAAAAGGGATGCTTACTCTTCTCTTTACAAACAATAAGAAGAGAGAGAGAAAGAGAGAGAGAGAGAGAGAATGAAAATAGGGGGTGGAAGAAGAAGAACGAGAAAGTTAGATCAATATAGTGTGTCTGTGTGTTTGCTGATAAATGCATTCTACTACCTCTTGCAATGTTCCTAATGGAAAATTCAAAAGTTCTTCTCTATCGACACAGTATAATACACGTCAAAGGTTTATACATACATACATAGATACCAAACTTTCTATCTTTTTATATTTTTCTTTTATAATGTATATAAAGTAAGTTACTGTGATTTATTCTACTTAATATTTACTTTATACATTCTTTTGTGTTACTTATTGCATTTTACATTTTCTTGTTTAATCTGTCAAATAATTATTATTCCATCTTTACTATCATAACTTTTGTGTATTAGCATTGTGAAATTGTATTTGTTTAAGTTATTATTTTTTATTACAAATTTTACAAATTTATTCAATATATATATATACTTTTATTCATTTAAACTAGATTATTATTAAAAAAAATATATAGATAATATAATAGCAGAGATTAATCTATGATATAAAAAGAAAAATGTTTCTTTATCAAAAAAGAAGACAAACCACGGCATTAAACTTAATCTTCCTTTATTAAAATCTTGAAGAATTTAATAAAAATGAACACACAAACAGCTTTCGTTGGTAATGAAGAAAACAAAAAAATGTTTCAAATAAGTTCCCAACAGAGAGAGTTTAATTGTTTGATACTCACGTATCATCTTATCTTTTATATTTTTTTTTTTAAAAACCATCTCTCTCTCTCTCTCTCTCTCTCTCTCTCTCTCTCTCTCTCTCTTATTCTTTTTCACGATTTTTCTTTAACAAAAATCCATCCTTTTTTCTTCTTCTTTTATTTTTTTTTCCTTATCGTGATACTTTCAGAACGTAATTACGTTTTTTTTCTTGGAGTGGTGTAGGGTGGCAGGGGGGGGGCAAGGGGTGGTCAGGGGTAGAGGAAAGGAAAGGGAGCTAAGCTTTTCCGGTAGTCCTGCGAATCCTGCTGGAAACGTTCCTTTTCTTTCATGAGTGATGGGAAGGACGATGATGAAGCGACTTGGAAATTTGCTGGCTTGACGTTAGAAAATCCTCAAGTAAAATAAAAAAAAAAGTGAGTAACCTCGATCCGAAAAGTTTTTCCTTAACCGAGAAGAAGGATCCTCTGAGATTCTAGTTTCTTTCTTTGGTAATACTCCCCTCTACCCCCTAACCCCTGTCATTTTTTGTTCTTTCATTCTTTTACCTTTTTCTTTTTTTTTCAAATCGAATCACATCCGTGAAAATTTCCTTTTTTTCTTATTTATTCCTTCTATCTCTCTCTTATTTTCTTCTTTGATTTGTTTTGTTTTGTTTTTCTTTCTTTTTTTTGTTTAACAAATAGATAAAATGTCGAGACGAATAAATTTGATGAAAAATTGTAAATAATTGATTTTTTAATAAGTGTGTTACCGGACATTATAGGATTCGTTCTTCCAATCATATATCATATATCATCCGAAAAAAAACAGTCATTCGCAGAGATTCTGTTGGTGGCAGAAGAAGAAGGACATTAATCGATTTGTTAGGACCCTTTGACCTCTTTTGGTAACAGGATAGTGTTCGTTATCTATCTATCTGTTATCGAAAGGCAATCGGATAATTTTGTATTTTATTCTTTTTCTCTCTCTCTTTATTTTTTGCTATAGAAATGACACAAATCGATTCGTTCTAACGTTTAAACCAATTTGGTTTTTTTTTTTTTAATTTTTTCCCCCTTCATATATCTCACGAGAGAAATTTATTTGTTTTTCCTAGATTTATTTTTCTCTTTTTCTTTTCTTTTATTTTTATATGTCAAGTAATTTTTTTTGTTTAATATAAACATTAATTTTCCTTTTTTCTTCTTCTTCTTTGTCTTTTTTTATTTATTTCAGAGTATTTTCTTCGCATTCGCATAAAAATTGTCATCCACGTATTTTTCTTCTTCTTCTGATTTCATTTTTATTATTATTATTTCTTTTAATTGAATTCTTTCTCGTATACCTTTTGTAAATTTTAATCTTTTTTTTTCCACACATTAATCATATTTCGCATTGTTCTTCGGGTTGAAGTTTAAAAAAGAAAACAAAAAGAAAGTAATCCATTTTTCAGCATTTTTCTTTCGACAATTCTTTTCAATAATTCCCATTGGATTTAAATTTCACGATTTCAAAAGTTAAATACACAGTACGGACTAACGTTATGTTTAAAACAATCTTTTGAATTGTTGTTGTTACAAGAATATTTTTAAATAGGACTATTATTTCATACGAAAAGAAAGGTTTTGCGGTAATAATTTATCTCATATCCTAGTATTGATAATAGTACCGAATTAAAAAAAAGTCACCAACCATAACATTATTCCGTTCTTTTTTCCTCGTGTTAGAATTGTAATCGTTGTAATTAAAGCATTCTTTTTTGTACCCACCACTTAAATTCTTT